GAATTGGGAGCCCAGTCTTCATTCCCCAGCAGCAGGCTGAGTTACAGGGGGCAAAGACAGGTGGTCCTGTCCCCCAGCGGCAGTGTACCGTGCAGGGAGAGGAGAGCAGCGTCCTCCCTCCCCAGCAGTAGGGTGAGCTACAGGGATGCTGGGCAGTCGGCTCCGATCCCCAGCGGCAGTGTGATATGCAGGGAATTGGGAGCCTAGTCTCCATTCCCCAGCGGCAGTGTGATATGCAGGGAATTGGGAGCCTAGTCTCCATTCCCCAGCGGGAGATATTGCAGGGAATTGGGAGCCCAGTCTCCATTCCCCAGCGGCAGAGTGTCCTGCCGGGAATAGAGAGCCCAGTCTCCTTTCCCCAGCAGGGAGCAGAGACAGTCGGTCTCCCTCCCCCGTGGCTGGAAGTATGTATGGGAGAGGAGCTTGTTACCCCCTCTCCCCAGCGGCAGCTTAATTTACCAGGGGGAGACAGTATTTTATTTTATTTAGTTTGTAAAATGCTTCCAAAATTAAACAGAATAACAAAATAAATAACAAAATAACAATAATAAACAATCAACTGAAATAATGCCCAATTCAAACATAATACCAAATGAAACATAAATACCCCAAAATTAAACATAAATACCGAAATAAAAACTCAGGAAGGGGCACTAATAGGGGAGTAAACTTATACCAAATTAAATAACTGGGAATAACAGGGAGAGGGATTAACAGAAAAGGGGGGGAACTAAATCATAAGGGGATAAATTAAAAGGCGGGGGGCTCCATTACTTCATGGAGCCTTGGGGAGGGAGAAAAAAGGCTGAAATGCTCCTGAAGGAGCTCTTACATAACAAGGGGGGGACAAGGGGGGACCCAATTGACCTCGAGTCCACAGCCAGCTAAACACAAACATAAACCAAGCGTGAAATAAAATACACACATAAACATAAACAAACCCATTACCCACATGGAGTCCTTTTCTCAGTTCATAAAACCCACCAACCACATGGAGTCCATCCCTCCGTCCATCAACACCAACCCACCACCTACACTTTAAACCCAAACTTTAAACCCAAACCCACCACCCAAATGGAGTCCATTTTCAATTCATAAAACCCACCACCCTCATGGAGTCTATCCCTCCGTCCATCCCCCAAACCCACCACCCAAATGGAGTCCTTTTCTCAGTTCATCACATCCAAACCCACCACCCACATGAAATCAAAATTTTGTCCATAGACCCACCACCCACATGAAATCCAGTTTGTACACCACCCTCAAGGAGTCCATCCCTCCGTCCATAAAGAAACCCAGTGTTTTGTTTTGTTTTTTCCACCCAAAGTAAATTTTTTCAATTTGTGCATACACCAGAAACCCACCCTAACCCAAACAATACCAAAAATAACCTGTGCATAACCATAACCTAACTACACTGCACTACCTAGACGCAGAGGAAGGTACTCGTCTGCTAAAGGTGGCAGCCTTCCATGAAAAGAAAAACCAGTTCAAAATCTACAGGGGAAAGGTGAAGACAGATTTGGAATTCCCTTCACCAAGACAAGGGCGCCCATGGAGCGGTTCAAGGCGGGTGGACCTTGAGATTTCGCCACAAACGCTGCCAAATGGTGGGATCCATAGAGGCCCTTTCAGTGGTATAGATCCCACGAACCGCCCTCAGAATGTCTGCTACCACCACCTGACAGGAAAGGTCTTTACGTTGAAGGGAAAACTGACACCTTGCCATCCAAGTGAAATACTTAACCACTGAACTGACTACATAAAGAGTGCCCAAATCAAAAGCCCTCCCCCTTGAGTTGGACGTCCCGTACGCCCACTCCGCATAAGTCCAGCGGGATAAGCAGGGGATGCCTAAGGCGGCTGAGACCTCTTTGTAGACCTGTACGTTAAAGGGGCACTCAAGGAGGAAGTGGTCCATGGACTCCACTTCCCCGGAACATTCCACCCGAGGACAACCACGATCCGTTATGTTCCTGTACTTCAAGTTCCCTCGAACGTAAAGTCTACCGTGGAAGGAGAGAAACGCCACGTCTCGGTATTTCTCCGGAAGGCGCCTGGAGTTGATGTTTTTCAACCCCGAGGCGAGAGTACTTGGCGGGCAGTCCTTCAAAGCAAGCTGAATGCCAAAGTGGGTGGCCAGGACCCTCCCGTCGAGAAGCTTCTTGGGAGTGTCCCGAACCTCCTCCACCGTGACGTTCCACCTGCGCAGAATTCCCACTCCCTCGATGACCGAAGACGGAAGATAGCTAGAATGCCGAACTCTCATGCTCTTCACCCTCCCACCCTGAAACCAGTCCACCAGGAAAGGTGTGACCCACTCCCTGAATATACATACCCAGCCAGGCTGCTCGTCCTTCAGGAGAGCCCCGAAATTCCTTTTCAGGAAGGTGTTAGTAAAGAAGACGATGGGGTTGACCATGGCCAGACCCCCGTCCTTTCTGGCCAGGTAAGTGACCTCTCTTTTGATGAGGTTCAGCCTGTTCCCCCACAACATGCGGAAGAACAGCGCAAACATCCGAGCGTGGAGGGACCTGGGCAAAAGGAAGATGTTACTGACGTAGCCGAATACGGTCAGAACATAGGTTTTGATTAGGTTCACCCGTTCTCTGAACGTCAGTTTCCACCTGTGGCTCTCCTCCACCTTGCTAGAAGCTATGGCAAGCCGTTCGGTCCAGTTCCTGAGAGCCAGATCCCCTGGTCCGAACACCACCCCCAAGATCTTAATTTCAGGCTGGGCCCTCGGGAAACCGTCTGGAAGAGGGAACTGGTCCCCCTCCTTCCCGCACCAGAAAACTACGCTCTTGTCCCTGTTGACACGAGAGGCTGAAGCGGCAGAATACGCTAGGATTAAATCATCCACCTCCGTGGCCTCCCGAGTATTGGAGACCACTATGGAGATGTCATCAGCGTAGGCAACAACCCGTAAAGGCCTCTCCGGAGCCCTGGCCACTCCCTGTAACGTGCCTGCCTCGACCCTTCGGATGAAGGGATCGACTGCAAACACGTACAAGAGTGGGCTGAGAGGACAGCCTTGCCTGACCCCGGATCGGATCCTAAACGTCCTGCCCCTCCACCCGTTCACAAGAGCGAAGCTTTCGGCCCCTCTGTACAAGGTGATTATCCAATTGACGAATTTTCCCGGCAAGCCATACTTCCGCAAGACTGACCACAGATAACGGTGATCTACTCGATCAAAAGCTTTGGACTGATCAAGTGCCAGAAGGTATATCCCCCTTTCTCCGTCCCTGCACTTCTCGAGGGCTTCCCTGACTTCGAAAACGGCATCAAAGACAGTTCTGCCCTCGATTGAACAGTACTGGGAGGTGGATAGGACACGCCTCGCTAGGCCCTGTACTCGTTTCATCAAAATCTTTGCCAGGACCTTCCTGTCGACATTTAACAGGGATATGGGGCGCCAGTTCCCCACATCCGCTGTGTCGAGCACGTTCGGCTTGGACAGCAAGATCAGGGCAGAAGTCCTCATCGAGGGTGGCAATAATCCTTGAGCCAAGCTCTCATTAAACACCTCGGTCAGATGAGGGGCCAAGAGGTCGCAGAACTGTTGGTAAAACTCGGCCGTCAGACCATCAGGACCTGGCGACTTACACTTGTTCTGCTGTTGGATACTCTCTGTGACCTCTTCTATGGTGATCTCGCTGACCAACTCATCAAAAGAGAGGTCGCTATGCTCAGGGAGCGTGAGCTCGCTCAAGAAGTCATCCACCCTTCTCCCGTGGGAGGTTCCCTCCTCGCTACATTGGGGGCTGCCCTTTCCGAGGAGCTCAATATAGTAGTCGCGGACCACCTTCAGAATCCCGCGAGGAGACTCCTCTAGGGTCCCGTCGGTGCCCCGCAGACTAGGGATGGACTTGGTACCTTCCTTCCGCTTGCAGCTAAGATAAGGATCGGGCGAGCGGTATGACCCATGATCCCTCTCTTTTACAAGGGAGGCGTACCTGTCATACTGATAACTCCTCATCAGGTTTTTAACTGCCGCAATGTCCTCGGGGTCACCTCCCTGCGAGATCAGGATGTCTAACCTCCCAAGCAAGCCCAGATACATCTTGTACCTGGAGGACTGCATGTTCCGGGCGAGATTGCGAAACAGCCGTTGAGTTCTGGCCTTCACCATCTCCCACCACTCAGACTTCGTTTGGCCTAAGTCGGCCAATGTCATCTGATCGTGAAAGAATTCCATGAAGGCTTGCTGAACCCTCTGTTCCACCAGGAGGTCTGAATTTAGCCGCCAGATCCCTCTACCCTTAGGTGGGGTACTATAGACGTTCAACTCGCAAGACAAAATGTGATGGTCGGAGAACTCCACCGGTGTAAGCACGGGTGCCGCCACCGGGAAATTCTCCTTAAAGAAAAACCTATCTATCCTACTCTGACAGCTACCTCTGTGATAAGTGTACCCACCCGTGGGATTGGGAGTGTGATGAAGGTACACATCGACCAATCCAGCCTGACTAACCATCTTATTTAAAAAATAGGAGTCATACCCCAGCCTCTGAGTGGCGTCTCTCCTGTCTTGAGGCCTAGTTATGGTGTTAAAGTCACCGCCAAACAGGATTTGCTGGGATGTATAAAGGTAAGGCTCTATCTCAATAAACAGGCGCTTCCTCTCCCACTTAGATTGGGGGCCATAGATATTAATTATCCTGAAAGGTTGCCTGCCCATTGAGACATCTAAAACCACACACCGTCCTTTTTGCAACTCAATAACCCTGTTGATGCTAACATCAACGTCCTTAAATAGGATGGCGATTCCCCCATATCTCTCTGTGGCTAGAGAGAAGTAGGAGGGCCCCCATCTCCAGTCCCGCTTTGCAGCGTGCAGGGCCGCGAGGGTTTCCAGCCGGGTCTCCTGTACCAAGATGACATTGTACGGAGCCCGGCTGAGGTGGTCGTAAACCAAAAAGCGGGCCCTGCTGGACTTAATGCTGTTTACATTCACCGTAGCCACAGAGAGTACAGGAAAAGTCGCCATAAGGGCATTAAGTATAAGGAGACTTTCCCTTCCTTCTGCGGTACCCCTCCTCCTCCGTGTCGGAACCGAGGAACCTCTTCACTGAGACTCCGGGATACAGTGGCCCGTCGTCTCTCAGAAGCACCTCCTGTCCCACCTCAACCCCTGCCACCACCTCGGGGAGGTTTGCCATCTCCTCCTCGTACTCACAGTCGGCCCAGCTGGAGGACAGTGCCTCGTACCTGTTAGATACGGGCCCCGGGGCCTCCTGCAAGCCCGAAGAGGAGGATGACGCCCGTGCCACACCACCCTTATAAGTGGCGTCTCCCCCTTTCGGGGGTTTCGCCGCAGGGGGTATGGCGATCTTCCGGGGTGAGGGCAGCGTCGAGGTCTTGGAGGGGGGGGGTTTCTTACCTTTCACCGTGCTCCACTCTAGGGACTGTGCATCTAAGGGACGTGCATCTGGGGATTTTTCAGTGGGGGTAACCTTCACCGTGGAGAATTTAGGAGGGGGGGGCCTAGGGGGAGGGGGTCTAGGGGGAGCCATAATGGCTGTGGAGGTAGTGCGTTCTCTACGTACACTTTTCGTGAGGGGACGTGAACTTGTGGCCTTCCCAGGGTCCTGAGATGTTACAGAGACCGAGGGGAGGATGGGTTGTTGCTGGGGCAGGGAAACCCCTGTGCCAGAGATGGGCCTTGTAGATGACGATGCTACCTGAACCCCTAACCCAGCAGAGTCCATCTCCACCGGCTCCTGACTCCAGATGGACTCTACATTGTGCTGGGCTTCGGGGCAGGTGCGGTACGTGTGACCCATCTCTGAACACAGATGACACCGGATCTCCCTGCAGCTGTCCCGGAGGTGCCCCACAGCGCCGCACATAGTGCATTTGAGGACCGTACAGGCATTGCTGTAATGCCTGTACGATCCGCACTTGTGACATACCCTGGGCTGACCAGGGTAAAAACAGGATACCCGGTCAGCCCCGATGAAAAAACTATTAGGCATATGCTGTGTGACACCTCGAATCTCCCGCAGCAACACTGAAACAGTCCATCCGCCTGTCCAAATCCCATCCTCATCTAAGATCTTAACAGGGGGGGATTTAACATCCCCAAACCTCTTAGTCCAAACAAGGATGTCTGCTATGGGGATGGATTCATTTCTCACCAGGAAAGTGACCTTCTTAAGACCCTGGCGAGAAATGGCCACAGCGGTGAATCCTGCCCACTTTGTACCCTGTGCAGACCTGGCCGCTTCCCACCCAGCCCAGAAGCGATCCAGGAGCTGCGACGTCATAAAGGAGACGAACTCCCGGGTGCCCGAGGCATGGATGAGCGCGTACAGGTCCACGGGCGCAAATCCCATATCCTTTAGCCGGGTCACCAGCCACCGTCTGTCAGGCACCTGGGTCTCACCCCCACAGATGAGCCGTACCACGTTCCTCCTGTTCCCAAAGGAAACCTGAGGACGCGTAGCAGGCCCGTCCGCAGAGAGGCGAGGTGGCCCAGATGCCCAAGCATTGGGCGCACCGGGACCCGCCGTCTGGGAATGATTCGGACGGACTCCCCTCGCTGAACCAGAGGCCTCGGTCACACCAGAACCCTGGGTGACAACCTGGGAGTGCCTAAGGGGAACCCGTGTACCTGCTTGTGCGTCTAAACTATTTATAACCGCGGCACCCTTTGTCAGGGTGCCTGTGCCCGTGCTCGTGCCCGCCACCTGTGTACCAACTAACTCCAGTGAACCAGGGGCAGGGGCAACATAACCTGAGGCGGGGGCAACATAACTAGGGGCAGGGGAAACAGTACCAGGGGCAGGGGCAATAGTACCGGGGGCGGGGGCAACATAACCAGAGGCAGGAGCAACAACACCAGGGGCAGGGGCAACAACACCAGGGGCAATAGTACCGGTGGCAGGGGCAACAACACCAGGGGCAGGGGCAACAACACCAGGGGCAGGGGCAACATCATTAATACAAACAGGCTGGCTGTGGACCTTTTTACTAAGGCCAATAGGTCCCATCATTACATTTACAGTTACATCCATACTCCCATCCTCCTCAGCCATCCCTAAACCACCAGTGGAGTCAAACACAATGTTAGTCATACTTTTCTTACCTCCACTGGCGGTTTCCACAGTATGGACTGCTGGCTGAGGATGATGGGAGTCCCCTGCAGTCCTGTCTTCCATAGCGCCAGCGGCACCCGGGGCACCAGGAACAACAGGGGGACTGGTTACACATGCAGACATAAGGGGAACACATAGGGAAGCAGGGGGAACAGACTGGAAGACAAACTTGGACACATCCAGGGAAACAGACTGGGGGACAAACAGGGGAGGAGACTTGCTGGTAGGGGAGAGCAGTCGAGCTTGCTCCAAGGGAGCAGAGGGAAAAGGAGGGCCATCACCCTGCTCCAGACTGCTCCATCCAGTGCCATCCTGCCCAGCAGCCACCTGAGGACAGGAGGCAGAGGTACCAGCCACTCCAGGGGACGCAACCACACGGAGAGGAAGATCAGAGGGAAGGCAGGTAAGGGAGGGAGTGGGAAGGGAGCAAGGGAAGGACCCCTCCATGGGATCACCGGTACACGCCATAGTACCGGCGGGGATGGTCTCCCTGTCACCATGGAGGGCGGCGGGGGGCCCAGATACTTCCACAGAGGCAGGTTGTGCAGGTTTCTGGGGCATACAGGTGTTGCCACCTGCAGGGTTAGTATCCCTGGCCCCAGGCTTCTGCAAGGCCTGAACATCATCATTGTACATATACTCAGCATTTGAGCACTCACCCTCCTCTGTGGAATCTCCAGACCCCCTGACAGAGGTCTCAGGCTGACGCCGGGCGATGTTTTTCTTTTTCTTCTTTTTCTTCTTTTTGTCCTTTACGGAGTCCTCCCCAAGTTCGTTTCCAAACTTGAGGAGAGACTCCTTAATCAGCCCTCGACCTCTGTCCTGCACTTTCAGCTGCCACTCTTCACCTTTCTCTCCGTCCCACTCCTCTTCACTGTCCTTCTCTCTGGCCTTCCTCTCCGTCTCAGCAGCGCCCCCTGGAGTAGCAAGGGCAGAGGTAGACGGCTCCCCAGGTGAGTGATGGGAGTTGGAATCCAAGTCCTTGCTGGACTCCTCACCTGGGGACATGTCCCTCCTGCCCTCCATAGCCCTCTGCCTCCTGGACCTCGCAGCGTCCTTGGCTCTCTGTTGCAGGATGGCCTGGATGTCTGCTATTTTCTTTTCAGTCTGGAGCAGGGTGTAGGATAGATGCTGCTCCACTAATTTTTTCTCAGCTATAGCGGCCCTCAAAGGACCTCTTTTGTAATTAGAGGTCCTGTTTGATTTTTCCCTCTGCTCCCTTAGCTCTGCCTGGACCCCAGCTAGGCCCGAGTCTGCCTCGGCATGCTGGGCCTTCAGGGACACAAGCAGACCCCGGAGCCTGTCAGAAGGTAGCCCCATAAAGACCCTAGCCTCAACCCCCTCACCCTTTGCAGCCTCAGCATAGGTGAGGGAGGCCTGAGGGGCCTTGCTGGCACTAGCCACCTCAGGACTACCTCCTCCTCGGTACCCTCTCCCACCTCCAGGGACGGGGGGGGCTGTTCTAGGAAGTGGAGGCCACTGCTGGCAAGTTCACGGCACTCAGCCAGCAGCCCAGAGAGCAGCTGGATATCGGCCCTGGTGTGGGCCGTAGCTCCCTGGGGGACCCCCACTTCCCTTTTCCATGCTGTAAGCTTCCTAGACATCCCCCCCGCCAGTTCCTCCAACAGGGAGACCTGGTTTCGTATTTGCCGGGAGAGGGCCTGATGCTCAGTCCAAGACAGGCCCCTGGTATCCGCCTTACCTTCCCCAAAAGCCAGCACTGCCTGCAGCTCGTCCAGCCTGACCTTCCATCCCCAGGCTGGGGAGGAAGGCCCGAGGGCCATGCTTGCCTAGGCCCAGGCAGAGCCCCTTGCTGTAGTAATTCCAAAGCCCAGAAATCGAGCTCCAAAGCAGCCACAAACGGGTGTGGTCCTGGGAACACACAGATGAAGCACAGAGCAGCTCACTCTCCAGCAGCAACGGCAAACTCCTCCCACTCCAGTGGGAGGGGAGACAGTAAGCCCCACAACTGTGCAGATGGGACCGTGGTCTCTGCACATACAGCACAGGGGGTAGGGACGGTCGGTTCTGCCCCCCAGCGACAGGGCTGTTTAGCCAAAAGGGAGACAGTCGGTCTCCAGCAGCAGAGCTGTGTGTCCAAAGGGGAGACAGTCGGTCTCCAGCAGCAGGGCTGTATATCTAAAGGGGGGACAGTCGGTCTCCAGCAGCAAAATGGTGTATTTAAAGGGGAGACAGTCGGTCTCCAGCAACCAGGCTTCAACCAGACTACTCCCGTGGTAGTGCTGGCATCAGGGCAGAGTACCGCTGGTTTCTGTCCACTCAGCAACCCACCAAAGCAGCCTACCAGTCCCCCACACAGCCGTGGTGAGGCACCTGGACATGGACAAGTTTCTCCTCTACCCAGGTGTAGTAATCAGTTATTGTGGGTGGGCTGTACTGCTGTTTCTGTTTTGTGGGTGGGCTGCTGGACTAACAAGGGCACTGACCGGCAGGAGGTCAGATACCCTGTTAGTCTGTTTGGAAAAGGGGAGAGATGTGACGAGAGCAATCTCGCCACATTGCATTGGAGAAGCCTGGCTGCCCGCCTGCTGCCTTTGGACTATGGACCAGACTTTATGTAAATGTGTTAACCCAGATAGCTATGCCATGGAGCCAATTCGTGTAGTTAAAGACTTCGGCTCCATGGCAATTGAACTGTGTGAATAGGATCTGAGCGCTATTCGGTAGTTTTGTGCGCTCAGATCCCAGCTATCTGGGGATATGTGAAATGTCTGTGTGTTATGTGTAAAAGGTGACTTTATGTATTTTAAAGTGTTTTATGTCTTTTTGCAACCATGTGCTCAATGGAGTCTGCCTCTATCCCTGGATAATTGGATTACTTTCTCCCATTGTCTCCAGGATAGAGGGCTCTGTAAAACCTGTTTGAGCCAGATAACCATGTGCCAGCCAGGGCCCAAAAGATACTTTTACTAACTTTTGAACCCCTGGTCTGATTCATGCCATTTTTTAATATGTTGTTCCCCTGAATAGATTGATTGTGAATATGTAATTTTATGTGAAAGTGATGTATGGTTTTAGAGTTATGAAAGTTGGGTAGAAAGTATGTTTTAACTGTATGTGTAATTGAGTTTCCTCTCAGGATAAGGGGAGGGAATATGTGGGATGTAACTGATATGTGATTGGTTGTTTTATACCTCCCTGTGGGCGGTCCTGTATTTGAAAAGACTGTAATAAAAACCAGGCTGGGTGTGCCAGCACCTCAGACCACTGCTTGACCCTCAACACGGAGCCTTGTCTCGTTCTTGGGGGGATTCACTGTATGCTGTTAGAGACTGATTGCCAGGAGTGTAAGCTGATTGTCTGCTTTTCCTGTTCGTCTGCTAGCAGCTATTTGGGAGGTTCCAGTTCGGGAGTTGGAGTGCTATTTTGTATCCAGTTCGGGAGTTTGGTGTTCTGCAGTAGCTGTGCCTGTATCTCTGGAAACAGGGCCGATCGCCTAAACGGTTTTTACCCCTTTTGTGCAAAACGGTCCGTTACAGTCGGTAATACCCTGCCGTCCCCAGGAAGGCCAGCACTTGGGTCTTGGTGATAGGTGCGGGCCAGTTAGCTACAGCCTCTACCTTGGCTGGCTCTGGTCGCTGGCTCCCACATCCTACCCTGTGACCCAAGTACTGCACTTCTGCCATGCCTAAATGGCACTTGTCTGGCTTCAAGGTCAGGCCTGCGGCCCGAATCTTGTCCAGCTCCACCCCTACATGTACTAAGTGTTCTTCCCAGGACTCACTGTAGACCGCAATGTCATCCAGGTATACACATGCAAATTCCTGGAAGCCATTGAGGAGCCTATCCACCATACCCTGGAAGGTAGCCGGAGCATTCTTCATCCCAAATGGCATGACCTTAAACTGGTACAGGCCAAATGGGGTGACGAATGCCGACTTAGGGATAGCATCCTCAGCCAGGGGGATCTGCCAATATCCTTTGCACAGGTCAATGGTGGTCAGATAGCGCCCCCTGGCAATGCAGTCTAATAACTCGTCTACCCGGGGCATCGGGTAGGCGTCAGTGGTGGTCCGCTCGTTGAGTCGCCTGTAGTCCACACAGAACTGAATGGTCCCATCCTTCTTAGGCACCAGGACTACAGGGGAGGCCCAAGGGCTGTCTGAGTGCTCGATAACCCCCAGCCTGGTCATCTCCTGTATCTCCTTCCGCATTCCTTCTCGGACTGCTTCAGGGATACGGTATGGGGGTTGCCATAGGGGGTTCTGTCCGGGTGTCTCGACCTTGTGCACAGCTAGGGTAGTGTACCCGGGTTTTTGGGAGAAAGTCGCCTGCTTCTCCCACAGAAGCTGTCTTGCCTGTACCTTCTCTGCCGGGTTTAGCCGGTCCCCTAGTCTGGGGATCCTTCTCTAACAAGTCAGGTAAGGGTAAATTCTCGGGGTCGTCAGTAGCTGGGGCACATACTGCCGCAACATCCTCTGGTCTCTCCTGATACTCCTTCAGCATGTTCACATGAAAGGATCGCTGAATCCTTTCATCTGCACAGCTGGCTATAAGATAGGTAGTATCACATACCTGAGCTAACACTTTATACGGGCCCTGCCAAGATGCTTGCATCTTGTTCATCTTAACAGGCTTGAGCACTAGAACATTCTACCCAAACTGGAAGACCCGCTGTCGGGCACCCCGATCGTACCACCGCTTCTGTCTCCCCTGGGCCGCCTGGAGATTCTCCCTTACCATCAGGGATAGTTTCTCCATGCGGTCCTGGAGTTCCAGGACATATGGTACTATGGGGGTCCCTTCTTGCTCTGTCTCCCCCTCCCAGTGTCCTCTAATGAGATCTAGGGGTCCATGGACCCTTCTCCCATAGAGTAACTCAAAGGGGGAGAACCCAGTTCCTGGGGCACCTCTCTGTATGCAAATAGCAGATGAGGCAGGAATCGCTCCCAGTCTCTGCAAGTGTCAGTAAAGGTCCTCAACATCTGTTTGAGGGTGCCATTAAATCTGTGGGTGATAAGGTGAGCTAAGCACACCTTCCACAGCTGCTGGGTAAGCACAGCGGTGAACTGAGTTCCCTGATCGGAGAGGATCTCCTGAGGGAACCCGACCCTAGTGAAAATTTTAACCAGGGCATCAGCAACCGTCTCTGCCTCTATATTAGACAGCGCTACTGCCTTTGGATAACATGTGGCAAATGTATTTCTTACCTGATGGGCTAGCCCTGGCCAGTGGACCCACAATGTCAACGGCTATGCGGGTAAAGGGTTCTCCAATGATAGGCATCGACTGAAGGGTGATCCCCCCGCTTACCTACCCGTTGACAGGTGTCATACGTGCTACAATAAACCCGCACATCTCGGTTAAAATTGGGCCAGAAAAAGTTTTGGGTGATTCTATGAGCTGTGCGGTGGGAACCTAGATGGCCCGCTAACGGCACATCATGCCCAATCCGCAGAATCTCCTGCCGGTATTTTGCAGGTACCACTAGCTGTCGATTCTGCGGAGGGGTACTCGGTTTCTGGGACGGTTTCGGGATCCTGTACAGCCTATCCCCCACCCACTCGTAGTGTTCCCCATCTACTCCTTCTCCCCCAGAGTCGGCCCTGGCCCTGTACTTTGCTAACGTCGGGTCTTCCCTAGTTTCCTTCCCATACATCTCTGGGGTATCCCAGCCTAAAGGGGCCTGGTCTAAGGTACAAATCGGGGTAGAGGGTCTTACCTGGGTCTCAGCAGCAGGTGGGCCGGTCTCGGCGGCATGGGTCTGGGCACGGGTCGTGACAGCGTCCACTTCAGCGGGACCCATGGGAGCGAAGGCTGAAACGAGGGGTGCCAAGTCATTGCCAAGGTGGACATCCGCTGGCAAATCCTTCATGACCCCCACATTTACATGTCTAGCGCCCACTACCCAATCCAAATGTACCCGGGCAACGGGTAGACGAAACACGGCACCCCCGGCTACTCGCACTGCGACCGTGTCCCTGGTATGTTGGGCTTCGGATACCAGGTGCTTCTGGAGCAAAGTCATGGTTGCACCGGTATCCCGTAGACCACTGACCTCCTTC